GGTTTAAGGGTTTAATGGTTTAGGGTTTAGAGTTTAAGGGTTTAGGGTGTAGGGTTTAGGCTTGGGTCTCGGGTTTGGGGTTGAGGATTTAGGGTTTAGGTTTTAGGGTTTAGGTTTTAGGGTTTGGGTTTTGGGTTTAGGAGGTAAACGAAGAATCCAATAAGGACCAAAAGTGTTTAGGGTCTGGGGATTAGCCCTGGAAATGCCTTCGATATCCGACAGCCATGTGCCGCAGACAGCATTTTGCCGCATCCAGGAGTTTTTTACACGGATGTTCTCTTGTAGAGTTCCCAGAGCAGAGAAGAATCAGACTCAAGCGCGCAGCCTCCGTGGCCCAGAGGGGAGAGGAGTTCATAGATTAATTAGAGAACAAGCCATTGAAGCAAGAAATCCAACGCTCTTCGCATGCTACGATTGATGCTAAAGTCCTGCACGACCCTAAGAAGCAAGCCAAGCATATTTGGGTGGCTACAAATAATGTCGGAAGCAACTCAAGTACCCTTCAGGGCTTAATAAGATTTCTCTCAGGAGTGTATGGACGCGGGCGCGTATAGGATGTACTGTGGAAACCTGAAGATTAAGGCCACTGACTTCCTCACAGTCCATTATAGGCAGCTCTAATCGATGGCGTCTCCAAGGCCTCATTCTACTGGTCTATCAAAAGCTTGGGCAGTGTGGCAATTACCTGTTTTCAATGTAGAACGTGAACTTTCCCCACATTAGCTCCCTGCACCCCACCCCATATTCCAAACTGCTAAGCCCCAAAGCCCAAAACCCTGAATCCCAAACTCTACCCAAGACTCTTACTTCCCAAACGCTTGACCCTAACCATCTGATGCCTAAACCTTAAACCCAGACCCTAAACACCGGAAACCCAACCCACGTAACGGGTCCATAACTTTGCTATCGCCCTAACCCTGGAATAAACGCGACAAACAATCCTTCGGCCAATACAAAAATAATTGGAAAATTCTAAGCCCTACACCCTAAATCCTAAACCTTAAGCCCTAAGCCCTGAACCCTAAACCTAACCCTAAGCCCTAAACCCTATTAACCTTAAATCTTAAACCCTGAATCCTGAACCCCAAGCCCTTAAAGGAGACTATGGAATCTTGGAAACTCCCTTTGGAAACCTGTCTCTGCTGCCCCGATGTCCACAAAGATGCCGTAGGACTGGATGCCTCAACTTCTGCTCTGAGGGATTTGAGATGATTACAGGTTATAGGGTTTAGGGTTTAGGGATGATTACAGATTATAGTCCCCCTTAAGTAGATAGAATATAGGATTTAGGGTTTAGGGTTGATAAATTACAGGTTAAGGTTTGGGGTTTGGCGTTTGGGGTTTAGGGTTCAGGAGTGTTGAGTTTAGTGCGGTTAAGGTTCAGGATTTCAACGTGTGTTTGAGGGTCTGTGGGATGATTGCAAGGTTGTCGGGTTGCGGGTTCCCAAACCCTAAACCCTAAACAGTGTTCTATCCCAAAGCTCCCCCACTTCCCCTGAGCTCCAGCAAGTTGAGGGCCTCACAGGTTAGAACACCCTATGTGGAATTGGTAGACATTTATTTTGGGGTACCCAATAATTAAATCTCTTTAGATTAGAGAGGATATATGGGGGATATATAGGGTTTAGGGTTTAGGATGTAGGCTTCAGGGTTCAAGGTTCAGGATTTAGGGTTCAGGGTTCAGGGTTTAAGACTCAGGCCTCAACCCTACACCTTCAACCCTCAGCCCTACACCCTAAATTCCATATTGTACTCCCGACCCTAAACCCTAAACCCTAAACCTCGTGCCCCCGCAAAGCTTCGGCTCACAGATGACACTCGCTCTATGGCTGTTCTGTACTTCTGCTAAGTACCACCTTTCATTGTGACGGTTTCGGGTTTAGGGTTTCAGGATTAGGGGTTAGGGTTTATGAATTAGGGCTTAAGGATAATAACCCCAATGATGAAAATCACATGAAAAGGAAACAGAAAATAAAATCGAAACTCGGACTATGTAGGGTCTTTAAAAGGGTGATTAAGCTCCTGCATGGCCTTAAATGCCTGACACCTTGGGACCTATGACGATGTAATATGCTTAGGTCATGAAGGATTTTTTTACTAACAGAATCACATCTATAAACTCCCTACACAGAGTGCGCAAGCTCGCGCATGCTAAACCTTGGCAGTCCCCCACTGGTAATATGTTTTAACAAGACGATTCTGCAGCAACACGTNNCCCCCCCCCCCCCCCCCCCCCGAAGACAAGGGCGCTAAGGCATAAATGACGTCAGTGCATGCACCAAAGCAGTACCCATCATACACTTCTCGCACGTCAGCACACTGGTTGCCATCTGACGACCCTTCATGGTCTGTTTATAGCAAAGGCAAAGGGGGGTTGATTCAGCTGCTGAGGACTGACCCAGGGGGAGCTCAGGCAAGATGCCGTTGCGAAGATCCGCTGGGAAGTCAAAATACTTCCGCTCCATTAACTGTTCCTTGCGAATAAGACTCCAAGACCACTGGGGCTTCAGATATGGGAAGTTGGGAGCCCCTGCGCTGGGGAACCAAGAATCTCTTGCCTGCAAGGACGGCATTCCTGACCTGCTGCTGGACCCGTTTACGAGAGTACAGTTCCAAGGATCCACCTTTGTGGTGGCCTTGCGCAAGCCTGTCCTCTGGGGTTGTAGTAAGCCCAGGTGATCAAGAACAGTTTCAGGTGGGTTGTAGCCGGATGGGTGCTGTACAAAGATAATGAAGGGGTCTTATGAGGTCTATGTAAACCTTCTTGTACAGGCACGCGACAACTGATAACGCCACCTGGCTTCCTGTTTGAAAGAAGGTCCTACTCTTGTTCTCGGAGTCTCGTGCCCTAAACCCTAATCCTAAACCGTGTGGCTATATACAGAGTCTTGGGAGAATAGATTCGTACCCTCTACATTGCCAGGCCATCCCGCCCGAAAACATCCCTAATAGGAAGTTGTGTGTCCTGGCAGAGAACGAAGGGGATCCAAGATTGGGCCTGGTACAGTCCCTTGCACTTGAAACCCAAATTCCTTTATTCTATTCCTCCGTTTCTTACAAATCCAACGGTAAGCAATACTCTAAAGCCGCGCAGAGGAACCCAAGAACTAAGGAGCCAAATGCCACTTGATTACGGAAGTTAGCTGAAAGCACATAAGGGTTCCTAGTATGGTTTAAGAGTATATTTCTAATTTAGGAAACAGCCGTACATAAACCCTAAAGCCGAAACTTTACACCCTAAATTTACAGTCGCAAATAACATTTGGCGTCTGGAATCGCCAGCAACCTAGGATGTTCCCTTTTTAGCATGCATATGTATATATATATATGCATGTGTATCTACTTTTTCGATATATATATATATACATATTCATACAAAAAGGCTCCTCTTTTGTTATGAACATATATATACATATACACATTGTTTTGGTAAAAAACGTAGGATGCCCAAAAGGGAGCAGAGGCTTACTCCACAACCCTGTACCCGAAATCCTAACCCCCAAGCCCTAATCTTAAACCTTTGGATTTAGGGTTTAGGGTTCAACCCTAAACTCTTGATTCTAGCCCCCCAAACCCTGAAACCGCAATCCTAAACCATAAGCCCTAACTCCTATAAGTCCTAAACGCCAAACCCTGAAACCCAAATCAAAAACCCTGAAACCTGATTCCCAAACCCAGAACCCTAAATCCTAAAACCAGGTGCCCACAACCAGGCCAGCAATTTCCGTGCCCGTGGCTTCAAGAGCCTCCCGGCACTGCAATGTTGAACTTGGTATCTATTACCCTCATATAACCCACCCTAATGTAACCCTAATATTACCCTAATATAACTAAACCTTAAACCCCAGCCAGGCCAAGGGTGTCGGGCAAGGACATGTGGCTGAGGGTTTAGAGTTTAGGGTTTGAGTTCCTAATTAAACCCACTTATGAAGAATCAAATGGACAGGACGATCGAAAGGACATGGAAACTGGGAATATGATCGTTTTAGGGATTAGATTGAAGGTCGAGGGTTAGGTTGCTGGTTCGAAAGCGTTAAATTGGGATGTACAGGGCTATATACGGTTATGTAGGGCTTAGGGTTTGGTGTGTAGGATAAGCATGGAAGCCCAAATAGGGCGCTATATGCAGCCACTACGGTCCCTGGTCCCTTTAATGGGCCATGTTTGGGCTTCCATGTAATTAGGGTTTAGGGTTTAGGGTTTAGGGATAATATCCCCGAACCCTAATTCCGAAATCGTAGCTTAACTTTTGATTTTCATTTACCCTGTTTAACCCCCATGTAACCCGTACACAGACCTCATATAGCCGCTGTACAACCGTAAATCATAAGCCCCCTATATGGTTGTGCCTGCTAGTTCAGGGGTAATGACTACTAAGCTATACGTATTCGGGGTTGTAGGGTTTAGGGTTTATGGCCCAGGGCCTGAAACAAGGACCCTATGACCCCCTGACTATCATATGAGCTATAGTCTCTGCTTAATAGGCCCCCATAGTAGTCCCATACATACTCCCCTATAAAACTCCCTTTACGGAGTTTAGACCCCAAACCCTCAACCCTGCATAATCCCCTATATATCCCCACTAGAGGAGTTTAGACTCTAGCTCATATGACACTATTGGGGTTGGGGTTGCCAAAGACTCCTCAACCCTAAACCGCTTGTTCGGGCAACTGGGCGTGAGCCCCCGCGTGACTCTCATATGATATCCATGATTGCCAACAACACTCTATGCGGGGGTACCTTTTCGGGGGTCGCTGTAATAAGGACACTTTCATTTTGGGGTCTATTTGGGGGTCTCCATATATAGGGAAATGATCATATATATATATACATACACCTATATACATATATATATATATTGTCGTGAAGCTGTTCGCGCTGCATTCCACATGGCAACCCAAACCTCCAAATAGCTGTCTATATCCCTGCGACACCTAACATTACGGAACCTAAGCCCTAAACCTGAAATCACATACATTCACATACTCATGCTCAAGCTGCCTCCTGTAATCTTCCTTCATGTGTACATCCTTCACAAACCCTAAGCCCTAAACCCTAAAAGAAAGCTCTGCCAAAGTTGGGATCGCTATTGCTATGAGCATTCATGTGAGCTCGTTCTGTCAGCAATGAAATGAAAAAAAAGGGTTCAGGGTTCAGGTTTCGTACTTAGGAGTTTAATGTTCCTAAGCCCTGAACCCTAAACACGTCCGTAGCAGATGGGTATTGGTTGAACCCAAACTTGATGGCTGTTAGCAGGGAATCAAGGAATGGAGACTTGATTTGAAGCTACTATATTATCAAGCATCATATGAGTTAATAAGCCCTATAGTAGTCCCCTATAGAATCCCCCATATAACCCCCTTTAAGGAGTTTAGACTGTAGCTCATATGCAGGCAGCCTTAGACACTAAACTCTATGCCTTACTGGCAACCAGTAAGCAAACCCCTGTTCTTAAGTGCTGGTAGCACCCTCTAAGGGTTTAGGGCTTCGGCTTGGGGTTTAGGGTTTAGGGCCGCTGTGTGTCACGTAGAAGCTGAACCACATACTAATACTAGCTCGTTGCAGCCCTTGCGTATTGAAAGCTTAAGACAATGCCAAATCCGATTCCACTTAAATCGGTCCCCACATACAATCCCCACGAAGCCTCTGTGTATACCCATTTTGCATTTTGTGCTTTCCATCCAGTTCCCCACTTCCCCACTTCAATAACCCCCTGAACCTGAAACCCCTAGACCTTGACCCTAAACCCTAAACCCCAAACCCTAAACCCTAGCCCTAAGCCCTGAACCCTAAACCCTAAACCTGAATCTCTAGCCCCGAAGCCGAAAGGAGCCCGCCTCAACATCAGCTGCTGTGATCTGCGGCCGAAGGACTACATCAACGCGCCACTTTTCCTTGCCCAGAACGTTAGGCTTGCGGTCCATAGTTTAGCATTCAGGGTTTAGAGGATATTTATTTTGGGGTTAGCATTTAAAGGCTCTAGGTCTCAACCTTAAACCTTGAACCCTAAATCGCAGCTCGTAGAGAGTTTAGAGGTTTAGGGTTTAGGGCTCAGGGTTTAGGATGCAGGTTTTAGGGTTCAGGGCTTAGGATTCAGATGTTTAGGCTTTAGGTTTTAGGGTTTAGCCTCTTGGAGGTTCCAATGGTGTAGGAATTGAAGCCACGCGGGCTTAGGAATCCA